CTCCTCTCCTCTCCTCTCCTCTCCTCTCCTCTCCTCTCCTCTCCTCTGCAGTGCACTTGCAGCTGAGCAGCTCTCCGGACAGGACAGGCTCCTCCACCTCCTCCTGCTCCCTCCTCCCTCCTCCTGTCTGTGTATCTGTGTGTGGAGCAGCCCAGCAGTGGCGTGTTGGGAAGCTGCACCGACACTTCCATCCTCTCTGGCGCAGAGGTCCTGGACAGACGTGCGATGCTGCGGACTCATTGAGAAAAATCAGCGCAGCTGGAATCAAAATGAGTTCTTCTCCTGCTGAGCGGCTCTCCTCCTCCTTCTCCTCCTCCTCCTTCTCCTCATAGCGCTGCATTCTCTGCTCCAGATCTGTTTTATGTGACTCCAGCACACGAAGCAGGATGACTACTACATTATCACTGGCGATTTTGTGTGCGTTGGTAAGTCTGCAGGCTTCTGCGCTGCAATAATTAGACTTTTTGTCCTTTACAAGCAGCTTTTGCACATTTCAGGGGTCTGCAATGCACCTTTGAGCTGCACTGTTGTCATAAACCTGGAATAACTCTGCAGCAACTAAGAGTTTTTAGTTGGAATCCTCTTTTTGTAAAAGTTCTGCAACAGTTTAAGCGTTGCCACTCATAAATGATTCACGTGGCGTTTATCTGTTAAACCTGCTGCAGCTTTATTCAGCATGTACAGAGTTTTGCATCCAGATGAAATTAGACTCGTATTTACACGTGCACGCTTGTGCCATTAAGGGGAAGAAATTGCTGCTGGCTTTGCTGGAAGACAGCAGTCCAGACATGTTTAGAACAGACAGCAGCTTTTGAAGTAATTCATGTTCAATTTCTAATTATGCATTGTGCAGATCTGCAGTTTGGAGCACTAATTTGGCAATTAAATCGATTAATTAAATCCACATCCAAATATAAACTTGGATAATGTGCTCGACTGTTGCATAAAACACGAGTCTCTTTTGATGACATGGAAAAGTTGATGCTGGAGGATGATGATAAAGCAGGGAGCAGATCCTCCCAGCACTCTGCATGTCCACAGCAGCTGGTCTAATTGGGCGGCACAGCTCAGTCATCATGTGGAAAGCCCTGGATGTGAGGGGACACTCTGTTATGACAGCTGGCGTGAAGAGTGGCAGCAGTCCGTGCACTTTGGTGGAATTAAATTTAGAAATAAACTCACAAATTGACCATGAAATTGAAGAGAGTACAAAGCAAGCACATCACAGCTGCGTCACACTGTGCACTGGTGAGCTGAACTTGCTAATAAATTGTGTTTTAACTGAGCAAAATTCCAACAAAAATAAACAAATAAATAGGATTTAATCCCAATTTACTCAGAATATATATATTTTTTTTACTTCCCTGACCTGCAAATGGAGCTCTGACAACACTAAAAATAAAACCCGAGGCTGAATGTTGAAACGAGTTGTTGATGATGTGGGGTGACGAGCAGAAAAATGCACGAGTGAAGCGTGAAGTGGAATGACAGGAAGAGGGAAACATTGAGCAAGAGAAGGTGCGTACATCTGTTTCTGAATGAAAGCAGGGAGGGGAGGGGAGGGCAGGAGACACCAGCCAGAGACAGAAAACACAGAAATGATGCCTCAGCACAGAAGACGGAGGTGCAAACGAGGTTTCGCTCGTTACGTATTAAAAGCCACAGGACTTAAAAGTGATTCAGTTTAACGGTTTTTTTTCTGTTCCAAATCGCTGAGCTACAAATTATTTTCCATTTTTTAAAATTTGTTGCACGAACACCAGGAGGGGAAGTCTCAGTTGTTCTGCCGATGGGCTGCAGAGGAGTTTATATCGGAGAGAAGCAAAGAAATAGAAGCTCTTTGAAGGAATTTCATTTTCATTCAACTTTTATTTATACAGGTTAGTCTCACTGAGCCACGAGGATGAGACTACATGTATAAATAAAGATTATTTTTATTGTTTAATCGTGATCTCTTAGTGCTTGAAGTATTTGCTATGAATGACTTTCATCTATTCTGAACTTTAGAATTATTATGTCCCGCCACTTTTCATTCCAGTTTGAAGATCATCTTCACCATCTTTGGGTGAGTGGTGGCACAGTGGTTAGAGAAGGTGGGCCTGTGATCGGAAGGTTGCCGGTTTGACTCCAACATCAAAATGTGGGTGGAAAAGGTGAAGCCTCCACCCTCGTTTGACCCACTCTGAGCCCTTGAGCAAGACCCTTAACCCCATCTGCTAAAGTCTCTCTTGAAAACGAGTTTTCACGACTCAACGAGACTACCTGTATAAACAAAGGTTAAATAAATAAAATAAAAATCTTATGGTCGTGATGTGTTTGTGCTCGAAGGATTTATTTTGAATGACTTTCATCTATTCTGAATTTCAGCTGAACGTCTGTAAATATTTTGAAGCATAGTCCTTTTTGTCAGTTGGCTTTGGCGGCCATTTTGATTTGGTTTGACTCCAAAAGGGAATCAGTTGTAGATGCACGGTCAATAATTATCTTCTGAGAGTTCAGCTGTGTCCAGCGGTTCACTAGATATTTTGCTAAGTAACAGGTAGTTGAGTCCAGTAATGGCAAAAGCTGAAGCTCAGATCTCGGTCTGTGCTGGGGGTAACTCTCTGCTACTACCACACCAAACTACAGCCATTTTTACATTTGCTAAGGTTGCTTATCTGTGGCGGCCATCTTGCTTGTGATTAATTCCAAAGAATAGTCAGTTGCAGACCTCAACCCTGTCACGATGCTAAAAGTTTTGTTGAACTTTGTTCAGTGGTTCGAGATATTTTGCAAACGGAGGGAAGAAAGTAAAAGAAATAAAAGTGAACAATCCATGCAATAATTTTAAATCAAATTAAATATTTGAGCATCAGTTTGTTAGATTACCTGCACATTTACGTCAACAGCTTCATGCTTTAATTTGCAGCTCAGTCTACATTATTTAAAAGCTTCTTCTAAACACGTTCAATAAATCACTTTCAGTAAAACGGAGATTTATTTTTATTTTCAAGGGAAATGAAACCTTTGATGTTTTGCAAGTCAGCGTAACGTTTGAGCCGGTTTCACTCTTGTAAACACTTAAACATTTTGGCACCTTCTTGCTTCTTTGCAGCTCAAGGGTAATAAAATTTGGTGCTGGCGCTTTTATTTAAAGATGCACGTGTGGAATAAAATGAGAGCGGATGGAGAAGGAATGCGTCTTTACAATAAAAAGTCAAAGTTGGTGTGCACAGAGGCTGACATTCACAGCAGCCGTCACCTTTGGACAGTAATTAGGACGGGCATGTGTATAATGTTGTGCACACACAATTTTACGCTTCCTGCCTCGGCTGCTGCTTGTTTTAGATCCAGTATTAGAGCTGATGTGCCTTTAGGGGGGCTATTAAGGCAGTTTAGATGACAGCTTTGTGCAAATGGATCCAAAATAGGTGGAGGCAACGTGATTTATGACGGATCCTGATAGTAGTTCAATTTAAGGAGCAGGTTGGACACCTGGCAGTAATTTTCATCCATTTGTTTTGCTGCACATGTTTGAAACTTGCTGGTTCTGCTGCGAGTTTGTGTGAAGCAGTGTTTACTTCAGGTTTACTGAACCGCTTCCCCCCCGTGCACCAGGTGACATCACTGATGGCATCCAAGACGGAGCGGGCCTTGAATCTGGACTGTGACTCCGGCCAGTTCACCACAGGAGGGGAATGCTGTGTCGAGTGTTCACCTGGGGAGGGGGTGGTGAAGGAGTGTGGCGCCACGCAGACGGTCTGCACGCAGTGTTTGGACAGTAAGTAATTATTTTTCATGATATGTAACCTGCAACTAGTCGAAATGTTCTCAGGCAAGATGCTGACCACCACCCACTGCCCTCCATTAACTTATATGAGCCAGTGCCAAAACAAATCTTGAAATTCCACCTGTGTGTTTTTGTGTAGACACTAGTCAAAAGCTATTTTGAAAATAGAAGCTGTTCCTCAGTCTAGTGGTTCTACACTTAATGCTCCTTAATCTCCTGCCTGAGGGGAGTGGGGCAAAAAGTGTGTGTGCTGGGGGAGTGGGGTCCTTCATGATGCAGGTAGCCCTCTTCCTGCATCTGAAGGTGTAGATGTCTGTGATGGTGGGGAGACTGACTCCAACATCTTCTGTCCAGCCTTCACCACTCTCTGCAGAGCTTTTCTTTCTGCAGCTGTGCAGCCTCCATGTCACACGATGCTGGAGCACAGGATGCTCTCCACTGCACACCTGTAGAAGGAGGTAAAGATTGTACTTCCCAGACCAGCTCGCCTCAGCCGTCTGAGGAAGTGAAGTCTCTGGTGAGCTTTATTGATCAGGCTGGTGGTGTGGTTGCCCCAGCTGAGGTTGTTATTCAGGTGCACACCCAAGTACTTGTAGCTGTAGACCACTTCCACCACAGATCCTCCTATGTCCAGGGGCTGGTAGGTGGGGTTGGTCCTTCTGAAGTCCACAATCATCTCCTTCATCTTCTTCACATTGATGTGAAGGTTGTTCTTCCTGCACCAGCTCTCCAGATGTTTCACCTCTTGCCTGTAGTTGGACTCATCATTGTTTGTGATGCATCCCACCACCGCTGTATCATCTGCAAACTTTACAATGTGACAGCCTGGATGGGTAGCTGCACAATCATACGTGAGCAGCGTGAACAGGAGAGGGCTCAGTACACAGCCCTGAGGGGAGCCAGTGCTGAGGGTTATGGAGGAGGAGAATTTGTGGATCCTCACTGACTGTGGTCTGTTTGTTAAGAAGTCTAGGACCCAGTTGCAAACGGAGGGGCTTAGTCCTAGTGTGAGTAATTTGTCCATCAGGGTTTGGGGGATCATGGTGTTGAAGGCAAACGTGAAGTCCACAAAGAGCGTTCAGACGTAAGAGTTCTTCTGCTCCAGGTGGGTAAGAGCAGTGTGGACCACAGAGGAGATGGCGTCTTCTGTTGCTCGGTTCTCATGGTATGCATATTGGTGAGGGTCCTCACTGATGTTGATGGTTTTTCTGATGTGGGTCATGACCAGTTTTTCGAAGCATTTAGCGACTATCGGGGTGAGGGCCACTGGCCGATAGTCATTCAGACCAGTCACTGTAGAGCTCTTTGGGACTGGGATGATGATGGCGGTCTTCAGGCAGGTGGGAACTGTTGCCAGGGCGAGTGAAGAGTTAAAGATGTCGGTAAGCACCTTGCAGAGCTGACTGGCACAGTCTTTCAGCACCTTCCCAGGGATGTTGTCTGGACCAGTTGCTTTGTGAGGGTTAATCCTCCTGAAAGTACTCCTCACTTCGACTGAGGTCATGCTGAGAAACTCTTCTGCTGGTGGTGCGGTGAGTCTGGTGCTGGGTGGTCTGTTCGGGTCTTCAAACATTGACCCTCAGCAACAACAAAACCTTTGCATACTGTATTACTCCAGTTAGGCTGATTCATAAATTCATAACCCGTAAATATGTCTTTCTACAAAGAACTAGATGAAGAGTAGTTCATGTAAACTTTATTTGTAGGCTTGATGCTTTGTTTCCTGTTTAGATTTTTGAGTGAGTCAGAGATCCATCCATCCATCCATCCATCCATCCATCCATCCATCCATCCACCCACCCACCCATCTATATACCAGTATCCATCCATCCATCCATCCATCCATCCATCCATCCAACTATATACCAGTATCCATCCATCCATCCATCCATCCA